GATATTTCTAGTTATTCAATTAATATCCATTTCCAAACTCCCATCCAAAAGAGAATGCCACTCCCAGGTAATATTTCAATAAAATGTAACGTTGAAAGAGGATGTCAGGGATACTAGACCAGATACCAGACATCGCTGGTCAAAATGAGACGTCTCTCAACTCTGAGCGATACCTTGATCAAAAGTTATCAGTTTTACTTGGAGCCCTAGAACGTGTACTCTACTTAGACATGGGCGGGACGGAGACAAAAACTTTTTTAACGGGACCAGGACGGGAATCGGCACTACAACTTGTTTTTCCCGGACTGAACCGGGACCAACACTAGAACCGTGATGTGTTTCGACAGTTGCATAAACCCTCCGATCGCTCTTGAATGTAGTTAGCACTTGTTTTCTAGGATATAATACTAGTGTTGGGTTGATGAGGGTACTACATGTCAAGACAAACCTGAGATTTTTAGATTTGAAACAAGGAAAAATCTTGGACTTAGAAAGATTTACTATGCGACCGCAATTTTTGCAATTTTTTGAATGTATACCGTAATATATTCTGTATAAGACTAATGTTCTATGAAAATTTGATCAGGATAACATTCTGCAGAAAATAAATTTTGGCTAAGGGCGATCTTAAGCGACTTTTTGGCGGGAGTGCATCGACATAAATTCTTCCATCTGTTACCTTACGGGTCTGAACTGGAAAAAATATTATGTTGGGGGTTTTAAAAGCTATTGCAAAATTGCTACATTTGTTTCAGGAATGCGACTGTCTGATTTATTTCTTATACTGCTAATTGTTCGTACTTCACTGATCACAGGACAAATTTCTTCGTCACAAGTTACTCAAGATTTAGACGAAATGCAGCGTGGCTACACACAAATGATGTCACTGATTCCATCAACGACCGCCAAAGTAATGGATCTGTCGTGCAGAGTAGCCATCAATTGTTGTCCAAATAACTTTAACTACTTCTTAACAATGAACATTTTAAAAATATGTTTTACCAGTACAGATGAATCAGCTATTGTCAACTGTTCCCTAGCTATGGAATTACAGCAACTTTTTGCTCAGCAGCCAGTAGAAGAGTTAGAACAAGTATTCACCCACATGAAATTTTTTCACTATACAGCAGCGGTACCAGTAGCTAACTTAACGTCGCAACATTGCACTCCTCAACAACAAGCTGCCCTAGAACCCTGCAACACATTTGGTCCTGATCCACGAATTCCTGAGTGTCTACGAACAGCATTTCGTATTTGGGCCGTTGACGATCCACAAAAGTATCAGGAATATTTTGAATGGTTTAAAAAGACAGCCACACAACTGAACGAGTATTTTTACAATACTGGGTCAAAAAACCCGATAAGTTATAACATTTTTATTATACTCTTGTGCTTTATGTATTTCAGTTAAAACTTTTCAATTTCAAAAAGACTTGTAATTGCTAGAATATGTGATTCGAAACACATGTGAGAGGCCAAGCATTTTAAAGCGCCAGTTGAGAAAAGCAGACTGGTATTTGATTTACTACAATAAAATATAGAAGACTCTTAGCTAACATGTATGCATTTGCGCGATGGAAATCGGCAAGTAATTTCCGGTTAAGTGTAATTAATCAATCTCTTAATTGTGCTTTTTCAGCACACTTTTCTCTTGCTAGTCACGATTTTGGAAAAATCGACCGTTACTGGCGACTTCAGCAAATATTATCACAGGATTGACAACTCGCACTTGTCGTAAATTCGCTTGTACAAACCGATTCAAGTGAAGAAAATTGATTTTACAAGAAATTATGGTTTCGGGATATGTTCAGAATTTTGCAAATTGAGAATCTGCTTATTTCCATTCATCTTCAAGTGTCAGCTTTACGAAATTACTAAATTCGAGAAGTAAAAGATGTCTGATTTGTTTCAGAATTCCAGAAACACCTTATTCTTAGAAAATTCTTACGGAAAAGCTTTGAGTTTTTTCAGAAAATTCTTTTAAAACGACTTCTCTTTCTCGTTCTAGTTGTTGCGATTTGCTGATATTTCATAATTGTAGGTGGGAATGTGAAGTTGTTAACCTTTTTGGCTAATTATAATCAATATTTTTATTTCTACTTACTTAAAGCACCCAAGCAAAACTAAGTAAGTGAGAAAATCTATCTACTACAAATATAACTGCAACGCCCGCTTACAACTAGATCAACTAGATTACAAGGTACCTAAGGTATCTAACTGTATGCTGGTTGAAATCGTGTACTAGCTGAAACATTCGGTGTAATAACCAATTAATTGAGCAATGAATTGCCCGATTAATCGATAGAGTGAGGTGTCGAAATATCGATAGAGAAATGTCGACAAGTACAAATGTAGACTTCGAAAAATGTCGAATGCTAAATATCAACGCAAAGATTGTCGACAAGCAAAATATCGACACAAAAAAATGTTAAAATTTCTATTATAATACAGAATAGTGACGTAGCATGGATTATGGCACTTTCATCACATCATACTTTCATCATTATGACCAACACACTTTGGTCATACATGACGAAATTTCCTTGGAGGATAGTCCTCGAGAACTGTCGTCACCAAAGTGTGAATTTTCGTCACACACACAAAAAATTTCGTTGCATGATTGGCACATTGGCGAATTTTTGTCACGTCAGTAGTGGTGAACTTTGGTCACATTTAACGAACGTTAAATGCAGTACTCCTTAGCAAGTGGTTACAGAGTAAGCTCATAGGTTTTGAACGATAAATCTTTTTTCCGCAGAATTTCGCGGACCACAACCGTCACTTATTCAGAAAAAGTTTTTGGCATTTTTCGTCTGGAAAATCAGTTTTCCAGACGCCAGCTAGGAAAAGCCTATGAGTCCAAAGGAATATCATATTCGAAATTAGCATGGTCGATTACCTACAACCTACCACATTTCGTTAAGAAAACGAGACATAACGCCAGCTACTACTAATTTGAGTTTGTTGTTTTTGAAACTTAATTTAAATACTCGCCTAAATGTTGGTATTAGTAAAAAATGCGGGCACTCCCTGAGAAGCCCAGTTACGCTCAACTTTTTACTCGCAGTTAACCTTTTAGTCATTGAATGTAGGGATGAAGTATTTTTGTTGAAGTTTGTAGTCTCTATTCATGAACAAACATTCCTCTTTTGCTGCTTATGGATCAGCAATGAAAGTTTGTTTGAAAGCGTAATTGGTCTTTTCAGTGGATGTCCGTGGGTGCCCGCATTTTTCACTAATATCCCCTAAATGTAGCAGCTTTATGTTACTTTCAGCTCTTATGGTTGCATATCAATTCGTGAAATTTAAAAGCGTGTTCGGCAAAAACTGATTCTAGATTTGGACTCTCCATAGTCGATTATCGTGTACACAACAAGTTTTGAATAGGGATACTATAGAAAAATTTCTCAGTCTCATTCAGCCCATGTCTCCTCTAAGAACTTCGTACACAATTCTTTTGCAAAACAACGGAAAAACAAAATTTTCTAGAGTACCGCAATTCAAAACTTGTTGCGTACAAGGTAATCAACTATGGAGAGTCCGAATCTGTAGTCAGTTTTGGTCGGGTAAGCTTTTAAAATTTCGTGATATGAGTGTTTTTGTGTCAAAAAACCTCACCATTAAGTTTGAGAATGTTCAAAGATGACTGTGCTAGTAAATCCAAGCCAGAACAAGATGAATATTTTTCGCAAATACTATGTAAAAAAATAGTTTCTGTGTATAGATTCGATGACTCAATAGGACAGAGCAAAGTATGATGAATATTCTTTTCATCATCGTGGAGTTGATTCCCGCTCGAAATTTGCTTTATTTTTTTTGACAATTGTTGTCACTGTTATTCATGTACGTTTCTGTAGAAGATCTCTCACTATCATCAATCTCTGAAACACATGTACTGTTTGCCCTTAATTGAACCAATAGATTTAACACATTAAGAAAGTCCTTTATTATGAATTAGGGCTCTTAAATGCGGCAGAGTGAATTGAGCCTTCTTCTTCCAAGAGTCTTTAGTACCCATAACAAAGTTTAGACTATAAACGAAAGAACAAGCGGCCAACATCGGCGTTCATAAGGATACAAAACTGTTAATGATAATACTGGAAAACACTAGTTAGCATTTTCATGCTTCCATGATGTGAGACAACAAAAATGTAGAGATATATTTCCTCTCAAACCTGGTAATTCGTCTGAAAAGCGTTCCGCTTTTGAGTTACGAAAGTTAACTTTATAAGTAAAATGCCGGTAATTCGAAATTCAGGCAAAAACTTTTTCGAATTAGTTATACTTGGTTGGATAGAGCAGGTCGAGCTGATTCAGAAAATATGTGTTTTAATGTTTGAAAATTTTATTTTCATGTCGAAAACTTGAAAATACTCAAAGAATCTAAATCGTCGAAAACGCTTCAGTTTCAAAAAACGTTCAAATCCTCTTCACTCTCCTTCTTTTAACTTTTAAAATAATATTTTTCAGATTTAGCATTAAAAATTCAATGAGAAACTGATGCGTGATCGAAGTCAAAAGTCCATCGAGTATAGACATGTTGGATTCGCCCTATGAAACGTCCATAAACAATTTTGCAAACCTATCTTGTTTTTCTGTGAAGAGATGAAGGTGATTTTTGTACTTCATTAGAACCACCATTAAACGAGCTTTTAAAAGTACGAATCCCTTCTTTTATTTTTTTCTTTACTTTTTACTTTTTATTTTCTTAAAATTCTCCCTTCAGGTATTTTGCCTCAAAACTTAAGCACGAAATGTTTTCTCTTCAAAAACACAGTGAATTATGTATCGTTCGATGCAGTTTTCACATAGATTTTTCGAATGTCACCTTGGTTTTAATAAAAATACTTCTAAGCATTTAAAAATTGAGTTTTTTCACTTTTTCTTGTTCTGAATACATGTATATGTGTTTCACTAACGAGAAAGCGTTTTCAGGTGCCAACTCACTTTTCCGATAAAACCAGTTTTTTATCGATAAGTTGTGACAGTGATTTCGAATCTCACATCCGTTTATGCAGACTGGCGTTTCGCAAGCGGATTTCTGAAATTCTAGTCTGTAAGATACTAGTATGAAAGTTGAAATCAAAGGTATCAATCTATTCAATTTGTAGCGCACATCGAAACACATATGTCAACAACTTTTGAAAGAGATAGACATTTTATGTCGAAAGATAGAAATTGGCTGAAAGGGTTTGAACAAGCCGTTTCTTGAGACTAAAAAGTTCACAAAAGTTTGCTGACTAAAAGTCTTTTCAAAAGTTGCTGGCTAGTGTTCAAGAGTTGAGTCAAGAATGAAATTTTGATGACCGACATATACGTTTGCACATAGAACAGCTTTTTTCTCGTCTTATTCAAGAGAAACAAGCAACATAGGCTCTGTGACGATTACAAATATTTTTAATACGAATTGCATCAAATTTCTTAAAATAATTTTGAATAAAACACTACATTTAGACGGCAAGGAAGTATATCAAAAATACTGCGAAATCTTGTACATTTTCTTGTAAATCCTTCTGTTTCTTCAAAATACGCCAAACGGCTCATCGAAATTAGAGAATCTCTTAATGACGAGCATATAAAAAAAGACTTTACAGGTTTTATAAAAAGGGTTTGGACAGGGTTTTTTTAACTCTGTGAAGGCCTGGTTTTGATTTTCCATATCGAAAAAAAGACTTTGAAAGGTTTCTGCAATCCTTATAAAAAGGGTTTCTAAAATCATCTAAACTCTTATATTCGACCAAAAGCTGTTTAATACAATCAGAGAGGTTTGTTTTGGCGCAAAAGGGCTAGTTTAGCTTCTTTTGGAAGCGGCATGCTCTACAGTTTGTGAACTCTTAGTGCAGTAAAAATGTGTATATTATTTTAGGTTTTTGTAAATTTGACACTACCGTACTTAATGTTTCACTCTGTCACGGTTAACTGTATCCGTTAATATAATGGTGTTTTGCGTTTAAATTCTTTTCGTCTTGATCAAAATAAATAATAAAATGCTACTATTTATTGTAAATGTTGATAATGAATAGATTAAATTTTAAATATTGACTTTTTTTACAAAAATTTCGTATTTCTGAGAGAGGAGCCTTAAATTTTTATTGAGGCTATGCACTCCACATCTAATAGTCATGATACCAGTTGTTCTGTTGACCGAGTCAATCTTTCTTTATAACTCTAATAAAATTTAATCGAGATAGTCTTGAATTTATCTTCAAGACTCGATAAAATACTTGAATACAGTATTTATGCTCCCTGTATGGCAATAAACCGTTATTATCAATAATGACAACTCAACAAGCGATAAACATTATGCGAAAGATTGAAAAATTGACTTTGTTAGTGCTTGGAGTTTCAAAGTGAAGTGTATAGGTCGATTAAGAAATTATTTTATGGTAAAGAAAAGCTCTGCAACTTAAAAGGTCTGTTCTTATTAGGCACATTTACTCTATAGAAGACTAGTCTTTAGCTTTGAACATCGTGCAAAAGCTCAACTTTTACGAGAAAAATGAGTTTCAACCTTTTCTATACTTGAATGTTTAATTGAGAATTCCAATCTGTCATCCATTCATTATTCTTCACAATAGTGATCTTGTAAAAAGAAGAGAAGCGATGCCGACAAGAACCTAGAACGTAATTAATAGCAAAATGGTCACAGGCTTTTGCACCGATTCTTTAAAATCAAAATCACTATAATTACTCTACATTTAGTTTTGGATTTTATTTGTGATCATTAAAGTACTTCTTTCAATGGTGATCTACATACAATCGTCGATTTCATCATATGACACATATAACAAGGGAGAACTTAGGAAAAGAATAAAAATTTTCTATGTTAAAAATCAAATCTATTATTTCATTCATTTATACACCTATTAGTATTGGCGCCTATTGTAAAAATTTTCGTCTTTTCATTTATCACTGCTGAGAACTCAACCGATGCATATTTATCACCACTAAAAGGTCAAGCAGTGACGCATAGAAATTTTTCATAGAGAAGATAAATGTTAGTAAATATACAAACGGCTGTACAACATAAATAAACATCTACTTATTTCAAAGCAAACTGAGTTATTTTCACTCTTTCTCATTGCACGAATAACTTCAAAATGAATGATATACAAAAACTTCAGATTCCATCTTTATTTCATAATCTTTTTCTTGTCTTTTAGTTTAATTTTTTTCGTACATTCAACAAATCTTTTTCGGAAAAAAACGAACAGAATAGAACAAACACGCGTAGTAACTGTGTCACTTTCACCCTCACACACACACGGTCAATTAGAAACAGATAGGATTAAACATTTTGTGTTGTATCATGTCACTGATGGCACCAGCATTTACATTTTCATGTGAATTAAAATCACTACCAATTCCTCTGTCCGGTCATCCTCTTTCACGTTCACCTGTTGTCACTCCACCTTTATCATCAGCTGGTACTTGGACACCGATAGCTGCTGTTGGTGTTGTTACGGTTGCTGTGGAAATTGATGTTTTCGATCTTTTACGAAACGTAGGCTTACGTACGCCTCCACTGGTCGTTTCAAACCTTGTGCGTCTTTATCATAAGTTTCTGCTTCATTTCCAACTTCTAAAATCCATTGTTGTCGAAAACGAAAGTAAAGTTTATCTCTTCCCTGCGAACAAAAATCTTCGAAATCACCGTACAAAAATACTTCAGACCACTTAAAAACAGCTGGAAATCTCATTGCCCCATTCGCTTTTAAATATTCATCAATCTGTCTCCAACTAATATTAAAATGTCGTAAAACCATACACAGCAATGAGCCGATATTTCTCATACCACCGCTTTGCGTACAATATTCATATATTGACTTATTTCATGCGATTTAATAAAAGTTTTTATCATCGACTAGGGCACATATTTGAAGAGAATTCATATTGAAGAAAACCCTTGACGTCTGATATATCAAGAACGAAACACATTGTTGTAGTTCCTATCACGCCGACGAACATTAAAATTACCTTGTCGGATGTTGTAATTTGTTTTATTTTTCTTGCTTTGGTGAACTACTTTATGTAACAATTCCGAACGAA